AACCATTGTTACAATAAACGTGATCCCTGGAAATAAGTTTTGGTCGAGTATGCTTTGACTCAAAACAGTCAATACAAAAAAGTGTTTGTAATAATAATTTGCTGCAGTGGGTGCAAATACACTGCGTTCAATAATGATACAGCCACCTAAAATTTGTTCGAAAACTCCGAAGTTATAGAGTTTCTGAAAAACTGTCCAGATAGAAAATGTGACAAATTTCATGGCGAGTTCAGATATCAACACAAAAATCCATGTCGAAAACACTAAAAATTTTGTGCTTTTTTTTCAGAAGAGGTCGATTTTCCTATGTTCAAAAATGATACAGCCACCCCGTGTTTCTTCGAAATTCATTTTTGCTTCATGAAACTGATTCGCAGTTATCAGGCTTTCACCTTAATGTTCCCACAAGATAAAAAAGACAGTTGGATTTGAAAAAGGTAAACTGTAGCAAAAAAAAGGACCAGGAATCGTCAAGCAGTCATATTGCGCGAGAAATTGAGTCAAAGCTCCAATACGGTTAACAATCTTTTCTGGAATCCTGTAGGTTATGGAACAAAGAAGAGCTCTGGATGTTCATCATTGCTTTTTGGTCAAGTTAAACTTCGCATTTTGGGGAAACATTTCAATTTCATCGAACAGTGCCCGGAATTCCAGTCTTCTTTCAGAATTAAACTTTCAATGGATATTGTTTGGGATGTGTTGAAGATCTTCCGAGGTCATTCTTCAATGGAGAATTAAAGAAACCTTGTTTGTGAAAAGAAATTCTCTCGAAAACTGAGTCATTTTTTGCTCGAAAGTGTAGCCACGTCCACTGGAGCAAGATCAGTTCTTTTGTCTGTTATGTCTTACTTTCTGTTTACTTTCTTTCGAGTTTTTCCTTCCTCATTAAGGGTTTTTCCTTTCATTAGACTCCTATGAAGCGAAAAACATTGAGAGAAACGCAGACAGAAAGTGGTACATAACACCCAAATAACTGATCTTACTTCAGTTCACGTGGCTACTTTTTCGAGGGAAAAATGACCCGGTTTCGGGACGGAGACATTTTACAAACGAAGTCTGTTCAGTTCTTCACTAGAGAATGATTTCAGCAGACCTTCAACACATCCAAACAATATCCATTGAAAGTTTAATTTGAAAGAAGACTGGAATTCCGGGCACTGTTCGATGAATTGAAATGTTTCCCCAAAATGCGAAGTTTAACTTGACCAAAAAGCAATGATGAACATCCAGAGCTCTTCTTTGTTCCATAACCTACAGGATTCCAGAAAAGATTGTTAACCGTATTGGAGCTTTGACTCAATTCTTTGCGCAATATGACTGCTTGACGATTCCTGGTCCTTTTTTGCTACAGTTTACCCTTTTTCAAAACCCAACTGTCTTTTTTATCTTGTGGGAACATTAAGGTGAAAGCCTGATAACTGCGAATCAGTTTCATGAAGCAAAAATGAATTTCAACGAAGAAACACGGGGTGGCTGTATCATTTTTGAACATAGGAAAATCGACCTCTTCTGAAAAAATAGCACAAAATTTTTTTGGTTTTCGACATGGATTTTTGTGTTGATATCTGAACTCGCCATGAAATTTGTCACATTTTCTATCTGGACACTTTCAGAGACTAAAGATTTTTGAATAAATTGTAGGTGGCTGTATCATTAGTGAACGCAGTGTACTTCGGGAGGAAAAAGTTCTTCTCACATTCGCCACACAAGAGGGGTAATAAATGAGCAGTTTTCTACCAAATGTACTCACAGGATGTGACATGAGTTCGTGCCATATTCACGCGGCAGAAAAATACGCTGTCCAACACACCAGTCAGCGAAAACAAGGACCTCAAGATCCTGGCCGCAAACGTCGACGTGTCAAATTCAAGGCACAAAGGGTTCATTAGAAACGCTCCACGTGCTTTCTGCGAAACCAGTCTTATTTGAAAAGGTTTTGAAAGATGATGGCGGACCACTAGCGATAACATGGCCCTATCTTGCTCTTCACAGTAGCCTGGAGCTCACCTCATGAATTTTGAAGACCGCGTTTTGAATCACACAGCAGGCTTTTTTGTGCGGCGAAGTTACTTCCAACGATTATTCTTATGAGGCACATCTAAAAGGAGCTTCAGAGATGATGTAAAAGAAGAATCGATTGTGAGCAAAAATTTGCGTATATTTTCTAAATGTTACAAAACAGTTTAATATTGATAGAGCAGATCCCGTGTTGCACAGACTTCGCGAAACTGAAGGTGCGCTGACTGTAGGTTCCATGAGATCAGTGGCTGGCCTAGCTCTTCGAAGCTAGGTCGATTCATTACAGTGAAAAAGTACTCTTGACAACTTGTTAAAATACACCAAAAGCTACCATATATCTGCCCAGAATCCTCATCGTAAAGTACTGGCTAATGGCAGTTGAACCTGACATACAACCAACCCTGCACAAGTTGAACCAGCCGGACCTCTATTAATCTTGCGACCGTGTTACTCAGTAGGTTCTTTGCTTGCCCAGTGTCACTTTCAAAGAACTGGGTAGTTCTCTGGGAGAGGAATGTTCCGAAACCCAACGTGATGCAGAATCCGTCTCTGTCAAGTTCATGGCCTCCACAGTTCTACCTTTCTGAAACAACTAGAATGGGTACATCCGTTCCGTTATTGAGAGTTTTTTTTGCAAGTTCTTATAGTTTTTCTTTCGAATGGAAGTGTTTCGTTCGAAAGAGGCATTTGAATTAGGGTCAAGACGACCAGAACTTTTTTGATTTTTTTTTGTGATGAAGAAAGGACGTTGATTGCTCATTATTTTCAGTTCTCATTGATCTCTTCATTGATATCGAGTTGTGGTGATGTGATAAGCCTACGTGACAAGTCTCTGCTCACACTTGAAGTGACCACATTCAGCCGAAAGTATCCAAATATTCCAGTGGATTTATTGGCTGCTCTTCTTGCAAGTCGCGATGACGTATCGCGCAGTGAAGCGAAGTACGTATTTCTGCTGCAATTTTCCTAACTGTCATTCTAAAGACTGAAATGATATGTTGGATTCTAGGCAAATGGCCGAGGAGGTTGTTTCCCATGTGCAGTTTCATCCGCGAGATAGAGTTCTGGATCAGCTGTTTGCTTCAGTGGTCGGGCGTAGTGACTCTTCTTCTTGGAAACCCAATCTTGACATGATGAATATGCTTTCATCCTTTATGCGCAGAGATCAACCCCAATCATGAATTGATGTACAAGGTTGCTAGCTCCAATCTCCAAGTGTGCACGACTAAAGCGAACCTTCCATTGTATCAAGCGTTGTAATCTTTCTCGACTGTCTTTTTCTCTAGCTAGAGGCTCGAAATAAATCCTAAAGATACACGCAGTCACCTCTTACAAAGGGGGTCTTTCAGGGCAAGCCGCGTTCTTTTAAAACGGTTTGTTGCATATTGTAGGGAA